CTAAATTCTTACTTTTAAACATCCTATGTATGTATATATTTGTTTTATGTATGCATGTATTTTATTTTGATGAAAACTATGACCTTTAATACCGCGTACTCTGACGGATCATGCAGGTTCTGCCTCTCTTGTCAGCCATACTGGTTTTCTGACGGCCCTCTAGCCCCACATTCCTCATCTGATGACCCACACCTGCTGCCTGCTGACTTCAAAAATAGTCTTAAGAAAACGGACTAGATTACATCAGGAATAGCTGTAAGAACCCACTAGTTAGCTGTAGATTGGAACATTTTTTCAACTTAATATTTTCTGGATTTTCCTAATTGGACGGCACCTCTCTGACTGCTGGGTCGGACCCAGGCCTAGAAACATGCCCGAACTCACGACAGGAAACTGCTGATCTTCTACCCTCTGAGTAAATGTTCTGGTGTCCTTTAAAAAGATTAACCCATGATTAAAAAGGAAAGAGGGGGTTTCTTTCTTGACTTACAACTAATGCTCTGGACCCTACCATCTGTTTTGAAGAACTACGTTTACTTTTAAGCATCAAGCTTTAGGGGTTTAAAATTTGCTTTTTCAAAGGAAACATGCATTAAAGCACAGCAGAAACATTAAAAGCTCAGGCACAGAGAAATGTTCTTTTACAAATCAGCACTTGTGCATTTAAATGTAATTTGATTTCAAGATGTATCCCATTTCAAAGGTCTTGGTATTTCTCACCTGCTCAGCACTGTGGTATATGATCTGCTGCCCATTTTGCTGGCCAGAAAAAGTGCGTGCCCCCACAGGCCGCTGGTCATAGCAGACTCCAGGGCCTCCTGCTCACCACAAGGGAAACAGTGAGAGAAACACGAAGACCCAGATGCAACATGTAAACCACTGCTGCAGGTCATTTAGATAATTGTGTTAGAAAATATAATATCACTGATAGTGATGTGATGTTGAGTGTTTTGTAATTCAGAACCCTAAACAAACCATTTCTTTGTTGAAAGATGTTAGTGATAACAACATAAATCATTAAAGGACATTGAGCCCATTCATCATCAGGTATGATGGCTAATGAAGGGGACAAAACTACTTATCAAGCATGAGGTTTTCTGAAATACATCAACAAAAAGCCCCTGATTTAATTTATATATATATATAT